TAATGTATAAACTTCAACTTAGCATACTTTAATTAAAATCTCTCTCCCTTTACCTTTAATTACCAGCAACATTTGTCTCGAAAATTAAGCACAGCTGGTAGGCACGTTTTAGTTTCAGCACTTTTGGAGACCTGGCGATGCGTCTATGTTCTGATATTGAACGGATTTTCCACGCATGGTTCCTTTTTACCTCTATAATGATGCGAAAAATAAATATTTCATTTTTACGAAGTTTCAAAAAGATAACACACGATTTTATACAGATATATGACATGCTCCATTTTCACGTCCATGGCTGCTTGAAATTTAAAATCCTACTATCAATACAAGCTGATATGTGTACAGACTTTAAAACAAAAATACTTGAACACATACTCATTTTACCCAATGCAAATCGGTGACTGTTGTAGATAGGACTGATAATTTGATGATAATTTCTGGGAAAGTTCCAGGTGGAGAATACAGCAATATTGTCTGGGTCAAAAGAAACTCTCAAGGGTTGAGATGATGGTTGGCCTATTTTTTCAATCGCTAGTTTAGTCAATCTTCGCTAATTTTTTATTTTCAAAGATCACTTAACTATTGTAAAAAACTCTCTTTGTTCAATTTGCATGGGTGTTTTATTGAAAAAACTTCAAAACAATTGAGTTTCAATGTGTTTTCAAAACAGTTCACTTTCCACGCATTAGCTCGTCATCATGCCTTACTTTCAAACATACAAAAAAGGAATATTTTTTACATTTATTTTTATTTTCATGCAGTAAAATACTGCTTTAAGGTGTAAACAACACGTTAGTACGCCATTTATCCATTGGTTTCACTAAAATGTTTGAATAATTGACGAAATTCAAATAGATAAATATGATCATGGTTGGACCTACGCATGATGATGGTTGGACCTATGTGTTTCCTAAGACGGCCGCTAGGTGCGCTTCGGTTTGCTTACATCCTTCATGCGCAGCTGATTTGAAATTCGATTTCGTTTTGGCCGAGTGATCAGTTTCTTCGATTGAAAAAATGGCTAAAGAAAAGAGTTATACGGTCGAAAATCTTCAAGAGGCTGTTCTTTTAGTAAGAAATAAATCACTTACCGCGTATCAGGCACAAAAAAGGTACAATATTCCGAAAACGACACTTCACGCAAAAATTAAGGGAAGCCACGGCAAGAAATATGGAAGGGGAATAGTGTTGAGTGTTGATTTGGAGAACCAGCTAGGGGATTGGGTTTGTATGCGCGCTGCTTCTGGCAGTCCCAAGACGACCAAAAAGGTCTTGGAAGCTGCTGAAGACCTTGAGTCATTAGTTGGGTGTAAATTTAAAGGAGGAATTCCATCGTCAGGTTGGCTGAAAGGGTAATCACCGATTTCCGAACTACCACGAAAGCACCGAAAGAATCTGTTAATATTAAGGGGAGGTTTACCTGGATTTAAAAAAAAAAAATTATTTTTTTTGCATAAAATGAAAGCTACAAGTGTGTAGAATATGTGGCCAAAAGGATTTTACGATCCGAAACATATTTAGCGAGTTATGGCGCTTTGAGTGAACCTTTGTCATGCGCGCTGAGGGACGCTACAAAAACTTTAAACGCGTTTTTCTCGAAACCATTTTTTTTATAACAACTTAGAGCATAGGGCTTGAACAAATGATCCGATTTACAATCGGAAAATTGCACTTTGAAGGATACTATTTTTTGTATGGCTTATACCTAAAATGAAAAAAAAGTGTTAGTTACTATTTTTTAAGCAAGGTCGAAGTGAGAAAAAAGGGGTTAAAAAAGCACTAAATTTTCAAATGTCCATAATTTGGTCAATTTTTGTCGGATTTCGTTCTAGTTAGGTATAAGCCATAGGGAATATTATCAACTTTAACCACAATAAAAAAAAATTCATTTCAGTTCACCACCAGAGGGTGTGCACTCGAAGTTCTGCAGCAAAACCTGACTGACACTCCTCCACGCGAGCCGCCATTTTGAGCCGCCATTTTGTTTTTTTTTACCTTCAAAAAATTTCCAAGTATTCAAGAATAGTGGACAAATATAATTATCGAAACAGGAAGTTCGTATGTCTTTTCATTCTCCTGTTTTTCAGCCAAATCCAAGTAAACCTCCCCTTAAGCACTTCTCATACACCTTCTGTGTGCGAATTAACTTGAAAAAAATGTTAACAAACTAAAAATTGCTACATTCAAAGTGTTTTTATGTTACTTCATACGTGAAGTTAGCGATTTTCAGAGTTGGTTGGAAATGCTAAAATTAAGCTTTTGTGTAATAATTTATTAGCTAGAGAATGATCTTTAAAAGAGGGTAGATGGATAGTTCCGTTAGAGTACGGCAGTATGCAAATCGAATAGAAGTTTGAAAATGAGCGAAGGGCCATTAATGCGACAGTTTTTAAAGTCAGACGCATATCTTTTGCCTAACCTGTACGATGACTTCAGAGATCATTATTTAGCTAATAAAATATCACACTAAAGCTTCATGTTAGCATTTCCAACCAACTCTAAAAATTGCTAACTGAAACTTATTTCCGAAAAAAAAAAACTCCTAGGAGAAAAATAAAAACTATAAAACCAGAATTAAGTTCTGATATTCTGCCATTTTAAGCCCCTAAATTCCCCGGGGGCACTCAGAACATGCCCGGAAGTGGCCAATGTGGCCCAAGGCACTCAATTTTGTTATTGATCTTGTTATCGAATTCCGAAGTAATGTGAATAATCACATGATAGGTTTTATTCCTTCCATGTCAAATTTAGGTCCATGTTCCATATACCCGGAACCAGTTGACCGATTCCAAAAATATTCGATAGCTTTCAATGGGACCACAATACCTATAGTTTGACGTTAAAATTTTTTCAAAGCGAGTCAATGATTTCCGAGAAAATGAGCCATGATGAATAGCTAATGCGTGGAAAGTGAACTTTTTTAAAAACGAAGTTAAACTCAAATTTCTTGATTTTTTAAATAGCAATTTCATAAAAACTATATAAAAAGGGTTTTTTTCATAATACCAATAAGCTCTAAACAAAGGTTTTGAACAAATATGGGCTAAACTATCATTTGCACAAATAGGTCCAACCATCATCATTTTTTAGGTCCAACCAAGATCATAATTCTTTGCTTAATAAAAACGTTTTATGAAATCATTTGTTCATAATATTTAACTTTTTATGTTATTATTAGAAACAAGAAAGGTATATCATTCCCCTAATCACGCATTTTTCATAATTACATGTTGAATTCATAAAAAATACGACATGAATGTTGACGTCGTGTGAAACCAGCCTAAATAGGTCCAACCATCATCAGTTACCCTAAATTGATTTCTTAACTCGTTATCAGTGAAAAAGTTCGATAAGTTGAAATTCGGAAGCAATTTGAGAGTTCTGTTTTTGAGGTGCTCTGTAAATGTCCATGTAGTACAAGCCAATCCTGGACGCTATGTCTTGGATTCAAGCTCTTATTCTTTAGTTAACTCTTTTATCAGTCATTTGTGGTCCTGAAAAGGACCGATGGGTTGGAAGCTTGGAAGCTAGTTAAGACAATACTGTGGAAATTTTTCCTCGATGTTCTTTGAGATGATTGCGGTGCGGAAATGAAATATGCATTAGGAAAAACACATCAATCACAGAATCTGAGCCTACCGGATGGTACCTACGTTTGTGCTATTTTAATGAATATTCGGCGACTGTGTTAGGGAAACCACTGTTCCCATCACGAAAACGCCTCGTTTTCTGATGGCAACATTTGACGCATTTGACCACAAAGGTTTTGTTGCTGGGAATCAAAGAGCTTCGAAGGTGATGTGGCTGGCAGCAAGGCGAGCGAGCGTTCAATGGTTATAACTCTTAAACAACAACAATTTATGGTGATCCTAAAAAGGACCGTTTTGTCGTAATGGTTTAGTAATGCTGAGCTATTGGCTTGTTTAGAATTACAATCCATTCGCTATTGACAGAGTTATATGTCGTCAAAACCTAACCACTTTTTGTAATGCGGTCAATTTTGGATTTTTGAAATTGCACCCCCAATATGTTGCCGAAAGACGTTATCCAACGTCAAAAAAAAACATACTCTACAAAATTTATGGTGGTCCTGAAAAGGACCGTTTTGTCGTTATGATTGAGTAATGCTGAGCTATTAGGGTGTTCAACACGGATAAGGCTGGCGAGCTGCATGTTTTTTGGAACTCACAAACAGGCTGCTTTTTCATGGTATACACAGTGTGATATTCAATAATCAATTAATTCAAGCATGACTTTTCAAAAGGACGTAAGTCGCAAAAATAAATAAATCGAGTTTTTTTCTCGATCCGGTTGAAAATAGCATGCTTTACTCTATAGTAATTGCGAAACGAAGTTTGAAACTTAATCATCGACGAAAAAATAAATTTAATTACCGCCGTATGTGTTCTTCTTTCAATGTTTTGAAAAAGGTTTAGATATACCCTAGTGTGTCAAAAATTGAAAATAACACGCAAACCGCAGATACGCTAACAGTGAAACGTCACATGTTCAAATGAAAATCGAAAATTTGAACCAGCAGTTGCGTCGTGCTGCTTCCGAATAAATTCAAAATGGATTTTGATGCAATACAGCTGCTGCTAGTATGTTTTTGTTGATATTCATGATGAAAACGTAGTTGAAAATATTTTTTTAGGCGCAGCCACTCAGCTTCACGATCCACAACCAGGGTCAAAACAGTTTGCTGTTCCTTCGGCGATTATGACCCAATTTCCCTGCGTCGGGTACTACGAAGAAGTTGAAACCGTTTCGCTAAACTCGCCGGCAAATGAAATGCCCCCAGAACAGGATCTGAACATACACAATGATGCTTCTCGTTCTCAGAATTCTGATGTTTCACGGCAACCGGATGACGGCATCCGGTCTGATGTATATTCTGGTGGTAAGTACTTTAGATGTCCTTTTTCTGATTTTTGTCAAACTATCTGCCTGTTAAACTTTATTTTGATTGGGCCTAAACAATGTGTTATTGAAATTGATTTTTCACTTTTGTTCCAGAAAACCTTATGAACAATTCAAGAAACGAAACAACGCTTCTTTCATTTTCATTTTTCGAACGAGTTTTACCGCATCGACATGTGTCGACTCCTATCCACGCTCGATCTGACCCTCGAATGGAGTTAAAAAAGTTAATTAATCCGTTGGATCTTTCTGTTGCGAGTACTTTAACTGCTGATGAAACTCCACTGGATTTATCGATTGGACCTCACACACGCGCTGATTCCACCAAAGTAATCGACCTAGCACTCCCTCGAAAATCAGAGGAAACCAAGAAGGAAACGATGTCACCAGTCATCCCACTGAATTTACGTACCGCAAACTTTAACCAACATGATAGGCAAACCGAGTCTCTCGGACTTGATAACTTGCATGATACATTTTGGCGAACATCCGTCCAAAAGCGTGCTGTTATTCTTCATGCTAATGCTTATACAAACCCGAAAGTTAACCTGGATAATACCGGTAAAGGTATGTCGATTGCCACTATGAATGAGCCCCCATCATCCAAAAACTTCAAAAAAATTTATGGGCCTTTACCTCGGAAACGTGAAGTCTCAGAAACGGTAGAAGGTTTATCGCCCTTGAATGACATCGTCATGGCGCAAGGTATTTTTTTTTAATTTTTTTTTAATTGAACTGTTTCTAAAAATTATACGTTACAGGTGAGGCATCAGTTACTAGACAGAGTAAAAACGCAGATTTTTTGATGTGGAATCCGAACTGCAGCCATCAATATCTCTGACCGCCGATCAGCATCGCAATGATTCCGTCGGTGCCCATCATGCTGATCTCCTCCAGGATCCAGAAGATGAACCAAATGAGCAGGAAGGTGATCCAACGCTTTTGAACGAACTGTCCATCTACGAATATTTTGAAGAATATCAGAATATAGACAGTGATCACTCTTCTGATGATTCCGATGCTGGATTCGTTGAAGATTCTCGACGAAATCGTAAATCCTCAGTCTTAGATTCATCGCCATCTCGTACCGGCGCATGGTATTTTCTTAAATTTTATACAAATAAGGTTCTTTCTTCAATAAAATGCTTTTTTCAACAGACCAATTGCCAGTCGCAGGGCATAGTCAAATTGAACAGGACACTAAATCTGCGTTCAACGTTTCCGGTGCCGAAGCATTGGAATTAGAGTTTCAAGAGCGGCAGGAGAAAAAAGCAAACATCCGGAAGTACAACAAAACTCAAAAGGAAAAAGCGACAGTGAGCATGCATAAGGGCCTATACGCGATGATCGATTCTCTTCGTCTCTTTTGTTAATAACTCGCTAGATTTAACGTTTCTCGGTGCGTTTCCTGTTGCTTTTGATAGCAAATACAACCTGTTACTACTCTGGATTGAACAAATTCTAGAAAATTGTTTCGCTTAGCTGGAGCAATGCAAAGAGAAAGTCAATGAAGAGAATCGATCATCGCGTATTCGCCCTTATGCATGCTCACTGTCGAAAGGTCTCAGCTACACTCGGTCTGATGGAACAAAATTGCCATCTCGGAGGGTTAAGCCGGCTTGCGCATGTAGATTGAAATGTCACGAGAAATACAACGATTCCATCCGCAATCAGCTGCTGACGAACTTGCTTCGTTTGAAACTGTCCGGTCAGAAACAGTTCCTGTCTTCAAATATTATCTCAACATTTAGTAGCAGACCCTTCATAAATTTTGATAACATACAAAAATTCTATAATTCATATTAAATTTCCTATACCGATCGAAGCAAACGTTATGACGTCGCTACAAGGGCGATTGAGTAAACGAAAGAAACGAATCGTGCGAAGCAGAATGAAAGCCGAGTGAAAAACGAATTGCACCAATACATGCAGGCCTACAATTCCACACCTTCTATATACCAAGTTGAGGCTTGATAGCTAGCTACTTGCGGGAACTGACATCCGATTGATGACCTTGACAAATGTCCAAAACATCCTGTTTAACAAATTTATGGTGGTCCTGAAAAGGATCATCTTGCCGTGATGGTTGAGTTATGCCGAGCTATTAGGTTTTTCATCATGGATGAGGCTGGCGAGCTGTATGTTGTTAGGAACAAGGGTGACGCGCTTGGCATAGACCGCAGCGACTCACGAAGAAACTGTTTCCGATCCATAGCGGTGCGGATTCTTCCTCCTTCTATGGATGCTCATGTGGGCTCTGCAGCTCGCTGCTTGCAGGCTGCTTTTCGTTGTGTACTAGAGAACAATGTTCAACGCCATACACCGAAAGCACTGCTGCTGCTGACACCGACGACCGGACAACACCACACACGTTGATTGAACGAGCACCGTTCAGTGAGACCGCATCGAATTCGATCGTTGGAGGCGAACCAGCCCAAGGCTGAAAGCCTCCTTAATAAAGTTAAATAATAATAATAATCGAATTCGATTTTTAAATCTGTGTTAGGGAAAGCGATGTGAAACAGTTGGACATTTGTGTATTTTTCCATAGTGACCTATTGAAAATTTTTAAAGTGTTCATGTTAGCAGATTGATAGATACATTTCCAATCGTTTGGCTTATTTAGAATTAAAATCCATCTGCTATTGACAGTGTTATATGTGGTCAAAACCTAACTTCTTTTCGTAATGCGGTCAATTTTAGTTTTATGAAATTGCAACCCCAATTAATCATTTTGTCAAGCTTCTGCATTCATGTTCCATCAGATGGCACTGCTGTTGTTTGCGGTGACATCTACGGAAACTACGCATAATCTGTTTTCCGTTAATTGTTCACACAGGACAATGCAATGCAAAACATGTCTGGTACCTCTATATATGCATTTAGATTAATATTCGAAGTCCCTCCTTTTTTCAAATTTTGCACACAAAATAGTTTACCTCTCACAGAATTTCCCGCCGATTTTTATGAATGGAGCGGAGCAGAAATTATCTTTTGTGCAGTATCTGTAAAAAAGGTGGGACTTCAAATGTTAAACTAAATACATATGTAGAGGTACCAGACATGTTTTGTAGTGACAGGTACTCTATTTTGTAATCTGTGAAAGGGAAATCACAAATCAAGTGTTATCAAAATACATGGCATGTTGAGAGATTGAGCTCGTGAGAGAGAATTTTCTCTCTCGAATTTGAATTTGTTTAGCTCTCTTGGAACTGGTAGTAAAGTAGGTAACACAGTATGGGGAATAATCATTTTTATTTAATTGTAGCTTGTCCGGGAAAAAAACTGTATGTCAAAGTCCCTGGCTAATTTATTTAGGTTGTCGTTCACTTTTTTTTTTACCTGAGGTTTCACCGAAAGCGAATTATTCAAACTTTTCTCAATTTCTATATGGAACAGCGCCATCTCTGTGGAAAATGGCCGGACGATGTGATTAATATGTTGCCGCAAGACGTAATCCTACGTCAAAATTAAGGAATTCAACCAAGGAGTCAGGAGGCATCTTTTCCAGCTAGGACCGCAGGAGGAGCAAACGAGTGTAACAAAGGATTTCGAAGAAGTAATTAAAAACGGAGTGGAAAACTACAGATTTTAACTGTGTTGCCCAAATTATGGACACCACAAAAAAAAATAATGGATGAATTTAACACCACAAGGCACCTCACAAAAGCAGCTAAGAAATTGGGGCACATTCAGCAGTTCACAGAAGATCGGAGCATGGGTTGAAGGATGTATCGAAGGAGCTTATTATTCAGTTTTTCGAGGACGACGAAACAAGTCGGGGCCTGGACAGAAAGATTACATTACTGCAGCTCAGACATTGAAACTGGGGAGAACACCCATCACATCAATCTATTCAAATTCAATCCTTCCAGCAAAGGGAGCAATCTTCGCTCCACCGGGAATAATGTGGCAGCATCAACCCAGCTTTAGTCCGGGAAGATTCTTCGCTGACTCACTGACGGGTGGAAAATTCCTCGGTAGCACCAGGCACATAGACCACACACGTACCCATCCAGTCAGTGGATATGTAAACCGCATGAATCTATTTCCTACAGCATAATGCATGATTCAGCAGAGCATCGTAGTTCCACAGCCTCGCGTTTGCTGCTATTTGTTACCAGCTGGAACGAAGCGTCCTCATGGTGATGGTAAAATGTCAGCCTTTTTCCAGTAGCGTGTGTCCTTCTCCGGTCGAGGAACTGATGGCGTGCCAAAGAGAATGATTTACGCTTATCCCTGCCGCGTGCTTGTGCTTGTGTGTGTGTGTGTGTTTGGTTTGTTCTTCTTTCGCGGTCGGGAAAATGTATGCAAAATTTGACCATTGGATTCGAGCTGGGAGGCAAAACTGTGCTATGTCGGATGGGTGACATCCAGTCAGAGCGACACGGATGACACGTTCCCACGTAGTGCTTTTCTACATGGCCATATTCGCTGCCTGGGCCATGCTTGTGTAGGATGGTACTGCTGAATAAATGCTTCGTTCGGATGGTTTTGAGGATAGAAACGGATGTATACAACCCAAAAAAGTACCATTAATTTTGTCCGGTGGTTAGCTTTCAAGAATCATATCGTAATGTTTGCTGGTAGAATGATATGTTGTGTGAAGTTAAAGAAATTTTTCATCCCGAAAAATTTCCAAGGGAAATTGCTTTAAAGTCACGCTCCAGCAGATTAGACCAAAGTTCACGTATTCATCAATTATTTATAAAATTGAATTACTGCGAAAAGTATCCCTGCTTGGAATAGGCTTAAAATCCCTCCTTGTGCCCTCCTCCGCATGGCCTTGAAGCCATCTGCGTAGCTTTTCACCATAACTGAATGAACAAGTTGATTTCAAAAGAGTTCATTATGCCATTTAAAAACCAATTACTTGCAACACAGTGTCCGCAGCAAGCAGCCATTCAACGCCGATTGCCGATGGGCAGCTAAGAGAGCAGCACTTCATTTACAGCGAATGCACTCCACGTAATGGTTTTGCGAGAAGACATAACCCTCGAGAGAAACCCCCTCGATATCTTTATCGTTCTTTTTCTTCCTCGAATCCACTTTTTGTTCCATTACTGCGTTCCGCATAAATTAACCGCAAAACATTGCGAGAATTCCAGCTTTTATTGGGGGTAGTGCTTCTTGTTCTTGTATGTTTCCTCGAAACTGCTGGTTCCATCGCGTGAATATCCCTGCGATTTTTCCTTTGATTATTACGCTACGGTGTGGTGGGTCGGTGGGTGGATGTTTTTGAATTCGCTTTACCTCATCAACCGGACGATGCGGAATTTTACTTGCACAACACAGTTCACAGTAAGAGCGTGGAAAACAATGGCGTTCAGTCATTAATTGGACCGTTCCATTATATCGTATACAATTCCGGCTCCTTCAGCGAAGGAACGCGAACCCTGGTAAGGATATCCGCTGGCTGTTTGCAGGAAGTGGCAAATGATGTTTGCTACTGAATGGCATGTATGAAACGGACATGTGCCCGGAGTTTTTGTGGCTTTGTTTTCGGAGGGATACACTTACGAAATACCCAGAAAGATGTGACTTGAATTATGAATTGAAAAATCGTGATCATGATTTTAACATTGAGCAGTTCTACTCCAACTGTCGAATCGATCAGAATTTACTCTCTCCGATTCTCATGAAAATTGGTATCATAATTCAGTGACAACATTTCAAAGGGTCTTAATTGCTTTTGTAAACAATAGCTTTAGCCGTCGTGAATAAAAGCTGACTCATGAAAATTAATGACACCAACAGGTAGATGAATGTTTCCTTTACCAAGTACCATTGTTAATTATAAGATATGACCTTTTATTTGCGAGATATCGACGGCTAAAGCCATTGCTTGCAAAAGCACTGAATTGTTCACTATGGGCATCATTCAAATTAGACCATTTTATCGGCGGTGGCTTAGAACCCGCTGTTGCCTCGGCGGTGGTGACGTTGTGGCGGCAGTGAGACGATAGGCGTGGTATATTTGGCGCAACTCTCCCAGATTGGCATCCCGTATTCTATTACTGGAAGCATGATTTGTTTGTAGACAGCAAGCTTATTTTTCAGGGACAGGGTAGACCTCCTGTTGATGAGTGGATACAACGATCTTATCAAGATGTTGCACTTGGTTTTGGTTTTGTCAACGTGCTCCCTGAAAAGAAGCGTGCTGCCTAGTGTTAGCCCGAGGTACACGACCTCTTTGGACCATTCCACCACTGAGCCGTTTAAGCAGATCTTATTATTCTCAGACGGAACAAGTCTGGGAGATTTAGAGTGTGGAAAGATGATGACCTGGGTCTTTGCCGCGTTGATACGGATCTTCCGGCTGTTGAAATATTCAGAAAGGACGTCCAGGTCTCTCTGAAGTTTGGCAGTCTGAGCTCCAATGACCCTACCCTTGTAGACGATGGATGTGTCATCTGCGAACAGAGACAACGATCCACCATCAGGGAGAGCCGGCATATCGGAGGTGAACAGGTTGAATAAAATGGGGCCAAGGATGCTTCCTTGTGGAACCCCGGCACCGATGTTGAAAGCATCCGATGTGATGCTATTCAGAGAGACTTGGAACGTCCTGTCCGATAGAAAGTTGTTTATTATCTTCACTAGGAAGATTGGAAGACCGTACTGCTGCAATTTGAACACCCGGCCATCATGCCAGACATTGTCGAACGCTTTTTCAACGTCCAACAACGCCATGGCAGATGTTTTCGAAACAGACTTGTTTCGTCTGAGAATGTTTGTCACTCGAGTCAGCTGGTGGACGGTCGAATGACCTTTCCGAAAACCTAACTGTTCCTCGAGTAAGATGTTGTTTTGTTCGGCAGATGTTAGGAGCCAGTGGTGGACTGCTCTTTCAAACAGTTTTGATAACCCTGAGAGAAGGCTGATTAGTCGATAACTTGAAAGAGAGGACGGATCCTTCCCAGGTTTCCGGATGGGTATGACTTTAGCTGACTTCCAACACGAGGGCCCAAGTCTGAAACACTGATAAAAAATCAGTGCCAGATGGTTGTATAATCTGGAACTCAAGTGTTTGAGTTCCAGATTCACGATGTTGTCGAAACCTGGGGCCTTTATGTTTTTTGAGATGATTTGATAAAGGTCAACAGTTCGTCAGCTGTAATCTCGGATTCCTCTGGAAAAATCCTGTTAGCAAAGTCCTGGTTCCTGAGGTCCACCATTCTATCCTGGCTTGGATGGTTTTTGTTAGGCGATTACAGTGGGTCTTAAGGACAGGCAGACCAGAGCGTTGGTACTGCCTTCGGATGGTGTTACGGAGTCTTATAAGATCTTTGGTAGATCTGTCAAGGTTCAGAGTATTGCTCACCTGTATGGATACTGGCACGTGTTGTTCCCTGGCCCGGGATATCGCCTCCTCGATGGAATGCAGACACCGGTCAACGTCTTCGGGCGTTTCCGCCACTTCGGCCACCACCGGATAGTGGTCCGAACTCAGCTCCTGGTGGGTCATAGGTTGCGAGATTTTGTCTCCCATGTTGCTGATGAAGATGTCGATGATGGAGTGCACGCCAGACCGACTCAGCCGGGTGGGTGTGTCCGGCGCCAGGATAGTGTAGTGAGCCTCTTGCAGGTCGTCGTTAAGGATGGTGCCGTTTTGATTCCGCCTTTGGTTGCCCCAAGCTTGATGTTTGGCGTTCAGGTTACCAGCGATGATGAATTTTGTATGGCGTCGTGTTATCTTGACAATATCCCTCCGCAAGTTTGCCGCGGATCCATCCCTGGCGTTTGCTTGTTTCGGGCAGTAGGCCGCAATGATGGTGACGGGGTCGACGGGTGTGAAGACTTCTACTCCCAATGCTTCAACCATATTCAGCTTTGAACTCGGTAACAGCCGGCAGCAGATGTTATTCCTGGTAGCGATGGCCACTCCACCACCTCCAGAGCTTGTCCGATCCAGCCTCACGAGCCGGAATCCAGGAATAAATACGTTCATCTCCGGTTTCATGTGAGTTTCGGTGATGATAGCGATGTCGATGCTATGTTCGTTGAGGAAGTCAATGAACTCGATAATTTTGCTCTTGAGCGAGCAAGCGTTCCAGTTTGCGATTTTGATGAGCTCACGGTCCATAACTGAACATGAAGGTAGCCACAGCTTGAAGCTGGTCGGATTTGTTTTTAATGGTTTTGGCAATGTCGTGCATCTTGAGGAAAATGATCATTAGTTCCGCTGCGGTGAACCAAGAACCATCGTTGATTTCGGGCTGCGGTAGGGTCGGTCCATCCTGACGTCAGTTTAGCCCAGGGGCTGTGGGGAGATCCTGCGGCTGTGGAGCAGCAGTCGTCTGTTGACCTAAGTTTGCAGTGGCTCCGGAAGTTTGAGCTTGAGTAGTAGTAGCAGTGGAACGAGCAGAAGCCAATCGTTGATTGAGTGGCAGCGGTGGCAGCATTGGAATCGGTCGTCGTGGAACCTGTGGGAAGTTCTGATCATTCATTTCCGGCAACTTCTTGCGGCCGGGCTGGTTTCTCGTCGATGCTTCTGGATCTCAATGTACTCGGCGCGCTTCGGGCAGGCCTTGCTTGTAGCTTTGTGAGCAGCACCGCAGTTGGCGCAAATGGGATCGGCTTCATCGAGTCTGTCGCAGGTGTCGGTTTTGTGAATAGCAGGCAGTTCGAGCATTGGGTGACTCCACGGCTGAACGGCTTGTACCACTCCCCAAGTAACATTGCAGGTTGTATTGCAGTTTTATAGCATTCTACAAGTCTAAATTGTGGTCTACAGACATAAAACCAAAATTGTTACTTGGGTCCCACTTCACCACAATGTTGAACAGGACGCGGATGCCCTGGAGGTCCATCAAAGTTGTTGACTTCTTCTCAAGGTGGACCAGGTATAGCTGGTCGCGGTGCTTGACGGCCTTGTTGTGGCGGGCCATCTTGTGAATTTGGACCGGCTTTAGTCCATTAGCCACCAGCTCTTCCAAGAGGACGCCTGTGTCCATGTCGTATAGTCCTGGCAGGACAACCTTGAACGGCTTAACAGCCTCGATGTCGTTGGAGAGGTACTCCACCTGTGCTTGGTCCAGCATGGCCTGAACCGCGTTGGAATGGTTCAACACAGGAACCATCAATTTGTATCCTTCCGTGCACAGCTGGATGGTGCACCGGACGCCCTTCGTGATGTAAAAGTTTATTTTTCCAGCAGTCCGGAGGGAAGCCTTTCACGTAGAAAGGTGGTATTCTGTCCTTTTTCGGCGGTCCTGTTGTTACCGTCACCGGCTCTGCTCCGTCCTTTAGAACGGAGAACCGATTGTTGTCTAGCAGGTTCTTCGCGGCTGTCGCACTGTCACTGTTGTCTTTAGGCCTAGACCGTTTCCCGGGATTGCCAGCACTCGCGCCACCGCTAGGAATGAGGAATGACGTTTCGAGACAGCTTGTGAAGGTGGTTTTGTACTTGGTGACACAAAAAAGTAAATCATGGTGATGTTTTTTTCCCTTCAAAAATTATCCAATAAGTTGTAACTTTTAACATGTGCATCAAACTTTCTGAAATTTGGACAGTCGGTACATCAAATATTCAAAAATTATCGGTACTATACGATAATCCATTTACGTCATTTGATGTATCACCATTTGGATATAGGGTAAGTGTGCCAGTTTTAACAGTAGTGCTCTAGTTTTTGGCCCAAGATCCTAACTATAATTTTAGATAAATTTTCATTAGTATATTTGTGATGATTTATGGCAAAATATATGTTCTAACCCTGTATTGAAATAAATTACGTAAATAATGCGTAGGGAACGACGAAATAAGACGGACACCCTAAGCTAGAAGTTAAATTGAACCAAAACTGTACAAAATTTACTCGATAAATTTAGTGAATATTGATCGTTAGAGAACTTTCCCTTATTGCATTGATTTTCAGAAAATTTCCTTTCCATTTTGTAACGATTCTGTCTGTTCCGTTCAGTTGGCG